GGGGGTGTGCACTGCAGTTCCACCCAGGAAAGAAAGCCCTGAGCCTCTGTCTCTCAAGTGTAGTTGCTGCGCCACTCTTGGCACTGCACAAAGAAAAAGAGCTTTCTGTGCAGGCACCTTTGGTCTTGCAGGTATCTTTGACCGTATTGAACACTAGACCTAAACTTAAAAAAAAACCCTAAACCCAAATCTAACACTAAAACTTAACCCCAACCATAACCCTATCCCTTGCCCTAACCCAAACCTTACCTAAATCCTGTCCTAATTTAACTTGCATGCTAAACTGTACCCTAAATCCTAGAGCCTAACATTAACCCCAACCCTGACTCACCATCTATCTAGTGCAGTTTGTGTATGACTCTTGGCACTTTACAAGGAACAAGAGCTTTCTGCGTGGGCACCTTTGGTCTGGGAGCTGTCTTCATCCTTACTGATTTTTGGCTGTCTGTCTCAGTTTAATAAGACAGAAGGATGAGTTATGAGGGAAAAACAGAACTCCTCCATCTAAGCAATCGTAAATCCGAAATTAAGAGGCTCTGATTGAGAAAGTGTGGAGAAAGGAAAAAAATAACAGCCCTTTATTAAAGGATATATGTGTATTGGCAGAGCAACGAGCAAAGGAAACAACCAAACAATAATCCTATACCCAAAAGTCCCCTTCAAACAAAAAGGTAAACAGATCAGTTGACACTTTTTTGGTGCAATTTGAACTACAGCCAGCAGGGGGCGCTGTTGGATCACTGGAGGAGCATAGCTTGCAGGTTTCCCTGGTGTCCAGCAGGGGGCGCTGTTGGATATGGAAGTTGCCTTGGGGGGTCCCCAGGGGTGCAGGAGAAGCCCAAAACGGAGATTTTCCCTCCCACACTGAGAAGGGGAAAGAGGAGAGAAGGGGTTCTTCCCAAGAAAACTCACGCTGTCTGTGGCTGGCAGTGTGACTTCCCCTTTTCCTTGATATGTATAAAAAAAAAAGAAAAATGACTGCCAAAAACACAGGAGCAGAGGAGGGAAAAAAGGGTGACCTCCTTCCCAAAGAGTTTCTCTCTGATGAAGTCTGGGCACGTCTGGGCTCGGGGCAGAAAACAGGGTGCAGGCAAACTGGAGCCAAGCGACCAGGCTGAGAATAAAGCAAACTTGGAGCTTTTCCAACCCACACCTTGTCTCAGTTCAGGCAACAATGAAGTGTCCTGTTTCCCAGGAGAGGGAAAAGATAAGAAAACAAAAAAAACCCTCCTCATCCCTTCTCACACACTTCAAGGACCATCAGTCTGGAATCTGAGTCCCTGACCAGTTCTTTTGTGTTGCTCAATCACCCAAGGCAAGGCCAACCTGCCCATTCAACATCCCTTACACAAAGTGGGGAAGGTGGGGGAAGGAAAACATTCAGTGCTCAGTTCCTGTTTTTCGTTAGAACAACCAAATATTTCACACTGTGGGATAGTCATTTCAGCCCAGCACCCCTACAAGAGAACGACTGCCCTTCCACCCAGGAAAGAAAGCCCTGAGTCTGTGTCTCTCAAGTGCAGTTGCTGCGCCACTCTCGGCACTGCATAAAGAGCAAGAGCTTTGTGTGTGGGCACCTTTGTCTGGGAGGTATCTTCATCTGTACTGAACCCTAGACCTAAACTTAAAAAACCCTCTAAACCTAAACCTAACTCTAAACCCTAACCGTAAAACTTTCCTTTACTTTAACCCAAAAGTTACCTAAACCCTAACCTTAATCTAATCCTAAACCTAACCTTAACCCCATCTGTAACCTTAACCCTAAATCCCAGCACCTCACATTAACTCTAACTGTGATTCACCATCTATCGAGTGCAATTTGTGAGCCACTCTCAGCACTACCCAAAGAGTAAGAGTTTTCTGTGTGTGCACCTTTGGACTGGGAGGTCTCTTAGACAGTACTGAACCCTAGATCTCTTATTTAAAAAAAAATCTAAACCTAAACCCTAACCCATAACCGTAACCATATCCCTTATCCTAACCCAAACATTATCTAAACAATAACCCTAACCCTAAACGAATCCTAACCCTAACATAACCCTAACCCTAACCCTAACACTAACCCTAACCCTAAACCTAATCCTAACAAAAACATTACTTAAACCCTAACCTGAACCCTATGCCTTTCTCTAACCGAAATGTTACCTAAGCCCGAACCCTAACCTAAACCTAACTTTAAACCTAATCCTAACCCTTACACTAACCCTGACCTTTAATCATAGCCCCAAACACTAACCCTAACCCTGACTCACCATCTACCCAGTGCAGTTGGGGCACCTCTCTCAGTTCTGAATAAAGAGGAAGAGCTTTCTGTGTGAGTACCTTTGGTCAGGGAGTTTTCTTTGTCCTTATGGAATTTTGGCTGTCAGACGGCAGTTTCAACCCAGTGTCCCTACAAGCGAAGGACTAGCATTGCACCCGGGAAAGAAAGCCCCGAGCCTCTGTCTCTCCAGTGCAGTTGTTGTGTCATGCTCGCACTACACAAAGAGCAAGAGCTTTGTGTGTGTGCACCTTTGGACTGGGAGGTATCTTAGACAGTACTAAACCATAGACCTAACCTTAAAAACAAAATCTAAACCTAAATCTGACTCTAAACCCTAACTGTAACTCTATCCCTTACTCTAACCAAAACGTTACCTAAAACCAAACCCTAACCTAACCCTTGCCTCTAAGCCTAATCCTGACCCCTAACCTCTAACACTAACCTTAAAACCTAAGTCTAAATGTAAGCCTAAACCTAACCCAAAACCCTAACCCCCTAACCCTAGTCCTAACCCTTAACCCTAACCAAAACCCAACCCCTAAACCCTAAACCTTAACGCTAACCCCTAACCCAAATCCTAACCCTAACCCTAAAACTTATGCCTAAACCTAAGACTAACCCTAACCTTAAACCCTAACCCTATTGAAAGGGACTTTGGTGACATCACTGGGGACGAGTGTCATCACAGGGAACTGGTGAAAACAAAGAGACAGCTGTGATGTCACAGGAACATCGGTGACATCACATAGGACATCAGTGACATCACAAGTACATGGCTGACATCAAAGAGACATCAGTGACAGCATTGGGGATATTGGTGTCATGACAGGGACATGGGTGACATCACTGGGTACCATTGACATCACAGGGGACTGTGCAAAAGAAAGGGACAGGCGTGGTATCACAGGGATCGGTGACATCACAAGGGACATGGGTGATTTCACAAGGACAGGGGTGACATCACAGTGACACCAGTGATATCATCAAGGACAATAGTGACAACGCAGGGGACAGAGGTGACATCACAGGAACATCAGTGACTTTACAGGGACACCAGTGACTTGATCGGGGACATTGCTGACATCACAGGGGACAGTGGTGACATCACAGGGACAGCACTGACATCATTGGGGTCCACTGACATCACAGGGGATTGATGACAAGAAAGGAAAGGCCATGATGTCACAGGGACATCGGTGACATCACAGGGATATCAGTGCCACTGCTGAGGACAGTGGTGACATCACAGAGACAGCAGTGACATCATTGAGGATTTTGGAAAGATTAGAGGGACATCGGTGACATCACTGGGGACCAATGACATCACTGGGGAGAGCGGTGACATCACAGGGGACAGTGGTGACATCTTTGGGGACAGCAGGGACATCACAACTGTCTGGTGAGATCACAGGGACGGCGATGACATCAATTGGACAGCTGTGACATCATTGGGAACACCAGTGACATCCCAGGGACAGTGGTGACATCACTGGGGATGTTGGGGGTGTTTGGGGGCTTTTGGGAGGGCACCTGCCTGGGGGGTTTTCATGCGAGCACGGACGACTCAGCACACCAATGTGATGATCAGAGAGCGCCGTTGATTGGAATCAAGCAGCAGTCTTTGATCCAGTTTTCTAACAATACTCTTCTATCAGCTCTGTTTCTTTAACATTCTTTATGTCCTTTCCCACTCTGATAGCCGGAACTGAGACCCTGTTTTGTATATCTGGTTTTACTACCGTTTCTCTTGGTAGATCTTTCACATCCTGGAACCATCAGAAGGCCATCAGAACAACAGGTCATGTTTTCGGAATTGCAACATCAGGCTATGTTCTCACAGCTGCAGCATATCCTCTAGTTAGCAACATAAGATTGTATTCTCACAGCTGCAGCATATCCTCTGTATTAGCACTAAAAATCCCTACACTTCCTCCTTTTTCATTAAACAAAGCAGATAGAGTTTGAGCCATTAAGCTGTGAAAACATTGAACCAGACATGGCAGAAAAATACACATTCCTTGAAGGAGAAAGACAACGGGTGCCAACCATTGTACAATTTGCATAAGCTGATTCTGGGGGGGCTTTGGGAGGGCACCTGCCCTTCAACACCAGGACTGCAGAGAACTGGGAAGCTTTACTGGAAGCACTGGGAGCGGGTGGCTGGTGTGAGAACAAAAGCAGGGTCAGGAGGGACACACGAACCCCCCAAACTCCGCGCGGGGATGGACTGGGGGATCCCAGCTGGGTCCGAGGCCATGGGGAGGGGCTGCGGCCACCACTGGTTCAGGAGCTCTGTGGGGAGAGAAAAGGGTGACAGCAGGCTGGAGGGCAGGGGAGGCACACACGCTCTGGGGAAAGGGGGACACAAATCCCAGGGATCTCCCTTTACCTTCTCCCTCAGGTAGAAGCCGAATCCCACCACCAGGAAGATGAAGTCCAACACAAAGCCCCCGACCCCCACCAGGATCTGCTGTGGACGGTGTCCAGTGGCATCTCTGGGGGGAGCCGGGGGGGTCAGGACCCCCAAAACCTCCCATAGACCATCCAGGACCTCACAAACCCCATCCTGGACTCTTCCAGCCCATTCAGAACACCCTGAAACCTCCTTCCAGTCCCTTCTTTATTAGTTCATTTAAATCCATGCCCAGAATAAAGACAAGTACAACAGTCATTCAAAAACTAAAAAAAATCTTTTATTGTTGTGAGAATAAAATTAAAAAAAACTACTGGCAAAGAGGATCAAAAGTTGAAAAATACAAAACCACTACTTTATCAGTTGGCATTCACACAATACTAAGAACAGCTTTTAGTACAGCATTAGTTAGTAAAAAGGAATTAAAGGGATACAAAAAAAAAGGATATAAAATGTTTGCTTTCTCGGTTGCTTCCTATTAATAAACTGTGCTCACCTACACAGACAGGCATTCACAGTTACGTGGGTTACTATGGCAACCATTGAGCATTGACATTGCTGGGGTCGGTTAACACCGATGCAACCATTATGCATCCTGATTGTGAAGTCGTTTACCATGGCAACCATCACATTATCCCATTGCTATGGTCAGTTACCATGGCAACTATTACGCATTCCCATCACTAGGGTCCATCACCATGGTAACCATTATGCATTCCCAGTTACATTGCTTACCATGGCAACCATCTGTAACACACAGATAATACAGAAATGCCAAAAATTGTTTCTGCCTGTCAAAAACTTCCTATCAAACATTCTCTGTCAGCTCTCTGCCAGAAGTTCCCACCAGGACTTTCCACGGCACTTTTCCTGCCGAAAGATCCTACCATTGTTTATGATTATGATATCTCCTCCAACATCTGAACTGGCTACGTGCCAAGAAACCACGTTCAACCTCCTTTGAACACTATAAAAGTTGAGGACAAATTTTGGAAAATGAGGGAGAGGAAAGGGAGAAGAACTGGTGACTGTAGCTGAGAATCTCTGCCCACCTCCCCTCACCTTTTCTCCACCACCGCATGCTGCCTGCCTGCCACCGGAGACTGGAACTGTGCCGGCCTGGAGAGAGCTGAGACCACCATGCCACATGTGGGAGTTCTACCTTATCCTTCTACCCTGACCATATTTCTGAGGGCCCAAAGCTTCGGCTGAGCTGAGACCCTGCAGGGCCTGGGACAGGAGCGTGAGCGGAGAAACCACACATGGTGCATTGCAGAGAACTAAAGCTGTCAGACCCCCTGCAGCTACAGAGACAACATCCAAAAGCTGCAGAGACAGAGAAAAAAAGGCAGAAACTCCTTCTCTTCCCCCACATACAGACCAGCTCAGTGGGAAAAGGTACTTTTCAGTGGTATTCTCTGCTTCTAGAAATATTCTTAGCAGTTGCCAACCTTTTCTTTTCTTTTTGCACCTCTTAGCAATTAATAAAATCAAGTTTTGGTATCAACAGATAACTTGTGTGAGTTTTAGTTTTGCTCAAGGGAATATTAAAATCTAAAGTTCGTTCTGCAATATTTAAGCAAATTATAACAGGGGACCATGAAAAAGTGGGAGGAACACGGAGAAGGGTGGAAAAGTGGGGGTGGTCTGGCAGGTCTGAAAGTCCCATGGGGGTCTTTGGGAAAAGGAGGATTCACAAAAGGGGGGTGGTCCCTCTGAGCTCCCAACTGACTGTGGGGTGCTGGGGGCTGCTGGATCCAATCTCAGCCATGGGTTTTGCCAACACGTTCAGCTTAGAGAAATTACAGAGGTGGGACTGAACCACTTTTGTCCCCCAGGCTTTAAGGATGGCAAATCACATCTATTGATAGAAATGAATTATTTAGGGTTACAAATGATCAGACAAAAGATCTTCATCAGAATTATTTACTGCACAATAGAAACACTAATACTACCAGTAGGACAGCATAAGATAGGACAGTGCTCTACACTAAAGCAATTGTTGAAGCAATTCTACTCAAGCTGGCACCAAAGCAAGAATTATGAATTAGAGATGGATGGAACTCCCCCAGACCAACGCTCGTGGGGAGATCTCTGCTCTCAACCTCCAACAGTGACCTTGGGGGGGTCCCAGTCAAGGCAGGAATCTCCACACACCCCCAAGAAGGGTTCTGTTGGCACAACCTGCCCCTGGCAAAGGGGACTGGCCCTTTCTGTTGGAAAGGGATGGACTGACAGTCCCTGGACTCCAGGGGTTGCCTCACCATCAGGGGGGTCATTTGGTGTGGGAGCAGCGGCCAAAGCTCTTCCCGCAGTCGAGGCACTCAAGGGGCTTCTCTTACTGGTGGGTCCGTTGGTGTCTGGTCAAGGAAGAGCTGTCGCTGAAGCTCTTTCCACACTCCCCACACTTGAAGGGCCTCTCCCCGGTGTGGATGCGCTGGTGGGTGATGAGGTGGGAGTTCAGCTTGAAGCCCTTCCCGCAGTCGGTGCAGCGGAAGGGCCTCTCCCCTGTGTGTGTCTGCTCATGCTCGTGGAGATGTGAGCTGGTCTGAAACCTCTTCCCACATTCCCTACACGTGTAGGGCCGTGCCCCAGTGTGGATGTGCTGGTGTCGGATCACGCTGGAGCTGCAGCTGAAGCTCTTCCCACATTCCAAGCACCTGAAGGGCTTCTCCCTGCTGGGAGGCTGCTCAACAGATGCACCACAAGACAGGGCCAAAGGGGCACTGATTTCTTCCTCACCTGCCTGGGGGGCCCGCGGCATCTTCGTCTTCCTTGCAGCCTCCTCCTCCATCTGCCCAAGCTTTGGGAAGGACAAATCCTGCTGGGGGAAACAAGGGTTGACCGTGTTGGCTTGGGGCTTCCTCCTGCCCAAGTCCATCTCTAGAACTCACCAGGCATCCTCTGAGCATAAAAAACCTCCAAAGCATGACGATTCAGCACAGAAAAACCCAAACCACCAAGATTCAGGCAAAAACCCCTCAGAAATAGCAAGAAGACTCCCCGCCCAAACTGCAAAAAGTTGAGATTCAGCTGAAATATACTCCAAATTATGAAGATTAGCCCAAAATAAATCTCTGCCTAGGAGTTCCCCCTCTCTGGTCTCTCCCCTCTGGGGTTCAGAGGGTCTCCCCTCTCTGGGATGTTGGGGGTCCCAAGGGTTCCTTCTCCTCTGACTCTCACCTTTGGGGTGCCGCCTTCCCACACATTCCCCCTCTCCAGGTTCTCCACCTTGTTGTCCCAGGGATCCCCTCTCTCCAGGCTTCCCCTTCTCCGCTCCCCCCGTTTCAGGCTCCCGGGGGTCCCGGGGCTCCTCCCTCTCCGTGTTCCCCCCTCCAGCCTGCCGGGGGTCCCCCAGCTCCGGCATCGCCCGCTCTGCCCTCCACCCTTGGCAGTTCCCAAACATAGAGATAGCACTTCTTCCTCTGCAGGGACTCAAGGGCAGCAGGGTGACTGCTCCTGCATGGATGGAATGGCATAGGATCCCCTGGGTCCCCAGGCTGGATCAGCACTCGGGGATACAAACTGACCTCGGGCTCAGGATGCAGCTGCGAGCACAGATTGCCCTGCAAAGTCTGCAGGGAGTCAGTCGAGCTCTGGAGAGCAGATTGTGCCCCAGGGATGGGACTGCAGAGGGGCCCTCAGGTCCCCAGGATAAAGCAGCAACCAGCAATAGACACAAAAGGTCCCACCGAGGATTTCTGGTTGGAGTGTCCTGGAGGGAGGGGACCATGCTGAGGTCTCCCCTGAGCCTCCTCTTCTCCAGGCTCAACAACCCCAGCTCCCTCAGCCTCTCCTCACACCACTTGTGCTCCAGTCCCTTCCCCAGCCTCCTTGCTCTTCTCTGCCCCTGCTCCAGCCCCTCCATGTCCTTCCTGACCTGAGGGGCCCAGAGCTGGACACAGCACTCCAGGGTGGCCTTCCCAGCGCTCAGTGCAGGCCAAGAATCCCTGCCCTGCTTCTGCTGCCACACTCTTCCTCACACAGGCCAGGATCCCTTGGCCCTCTTGGCCCCCTGGGCACACTCTGGCTCATGTTCAGATCCCTGTCCCTCCACACTCCCAGCTCCCTTCCTGCCTGGCTGCTCTCCAGCCACTCTGTCCCCAGCCCAGGGGGCTGCCGGGCTTGTTGTGGCCAAAGGGCAGGACCCAGCACTGGGCCTGGTTGAACCTCATCCCCTTGGAATCAGACCATGGATCCAGCTTGTCCAGGTCCCTCTGCACAGCCCTCCTGCCTTCCAGCACACCAATATACACCCCAGCTTGGTGTCAGCTGCAAATTTGCTCATGAAATGCTGGTTCTGCAGGAGCTGGAGATGCTCAAGGGGCAGCAGGACCAAGTCAGGGGCCTGGAGGGGTCTGAGGGGCTTTGGGGTCCAGGAGGGTCCTGGGGGAGCTGGGGAGGGGCTTTGGGGATTGGGGGTACAAACCAGGACAGACCAGGACAGACCAGTACAGACCAGGACCTCCTTGCTGCTCCCCAAATCTCTCCTGGAGCTGGGCCACGTTGTTGTGAGACACCTGATCCCCCCCAGTGCCCTCCCAGTACAGCCCAGTGCCCCCAGCACAGCCCACCGTGTTCCTGTCCCAGGGTGCCAAATGATTCCTCTTTGGGGGGAGGTTGGATGGGGATTTGGGGGGGGTTGGGGGAGTTAAAAGGGGTCTCAGGGGCACGGGGAGGTTAAAGGGATCGGGGGGCGGCAGGGATTAAAGGAAAAAGGGGGGTAAGGTGACATTTGGTGGAGTTATTGGGGCTGGGGGGGGACAGGAGGGGCAGCACCACAACCACATGAGTCCTGAGACCCCCCTGGTGTCCCCAAGACCCTCCTGCTGTCATCAATTTCCCACCTGGCACCTTGAGACCCCAATGGTGTCCCCAATGTCCCCAGGGCCTCCCCGTGGCCCCAATTTCCCCCTTGAAACCCCCCATTCCACTGTCCCCAAACCCCTCCCCACTGTCCCCAAACCCCATTCCTGATGTCCCCAACCCTCCATCTCTCCCCAGAAGGACCCCCTGGACCCTGTGGCCCCCAAAATGGCCCTGTCCCCCCACACTCACAGAAAGGCCAAGGGCATCTGGGGACACACTGGGGACACTTGAGGGGCGTTGGGGGCACTGGGTGATTACTGGGGGATACTGGGACACACTGGGGGAGAACCAGGGGGCACTGGGAGGGACTGGGGACTTATTGAAGTACGCTGGAAGGGACTGGGTGATTAGTGGGTGATTACCAGGACACACAGGGGAACACTGGGAGGTTACTGGGCCATACTGGGGGTTACTGGGTGCTCACTGGAGGATCATTGAGCCATACTGGGGGACAGTGGGAGGTCACTGGGAAACACTGGGTGGTCATTGGAGGGGGGGGGGTAATGGGCCATACTGAGAGCCAGTGGGAGGTCACTGGGCTATACTGGAGGCACTGGGATCCCCTTACCCACATGCGGTTCATCTTCCCCCCAAGACTTTGAGTGGCACCACCAGGACCCCCCTCTGAGGGCTCGGGGACCCCCTGAACCCCACTGATAGGTTTTAGGGGACCCCCGGACCTCCGTCCCTGTGGGGTCTCTGTGTGCTGAGTTTTGGGGGTCTCTGGGGTTCGGGGGGGTCATTAAGATTCCCTTTCCCTGCGGTCGGTCCGCCCAGCCGGCAGGGGGCACTGTGGCACGAGTGGTAATGGCGGCGCCACGCGAGGCCTTATGGGAGTTGAAGTTCCCCTATAGAAACGCCGCCGGCGCCTGCGCAGTGCAGCCATGGCGTTTAAACAGCCCTCCCCAGGAGGGTTCCGAGGCCCCCAGCCCTTTCAGGGACCTCCTAAACCCCTTCAGGCACCTTCACCCTCCCCTCTGAGCGCCCTCAGGACACCAAATCCCCTCCGCGACCCCCCGACAGCCCCTCACGGACCTCAAAACCTCCTCGGGAACCCCCGAGCCCCTCCTCTCCACTCTGCCGAGCCCTCCAGCCTTCCCGCCCACAGCCGCGCTCCCCGCAGCCCCCGAGCGCATCCCCAGCCCCGCCGCAGCCCCCGCCGGGTCTCACAAAGTCGGAGCAGATCCCGCTGTCGCCGCCATCGCTTTCCCGGCAGCCACCGCGGGGCTGTGCGCGCGCACCGCCGGCAGAGACTCCGCCCCGCCCCCTTTTCCGCGCGGGGCACGCCGGGAGTTGTAGTTGCAGCGGCTCAAAGCTCCAAACTCCCCCAGACTCAATTCCCCACGGGCGTTCCTGGGGCAGAGCGGGGCAGAACCGGGGCGGGGACGGGACGGGCATTGGGTGGAAATCGTTATAAAAACTGTAACCCCTGCGTTGGAAGGGATGGGTGTGGGTTTGTATTGCTGGAGCCTGGAGGCTCATGGAAACCTCTGCTGCTTTTCTGACCTCCTACCTCGTTGGGCCTGGAGTCTTTTTTCCTCTTCAGCCTTTTAGGCAGCAACGTTTATGGGGTTTATGAGGTCACGGCCTTTATGAGGAGAACCTCTTAGGAGGTTTGTGGATTCTCTAGATGCAGCCTGGCAAAAAGAGAGAGGCTGAAAAAAAAGGTAAAACAGTGGGGAGAGCCCTGAGGCTCAGATCCCGTGCTGGTGGGGGGCTGTAGGGACAAGGCAGTTGTACAGAACAAGGCAGAGCCGTGGGGGCACTGTGGGGCTGTGGCTCTGACTGCAGCCAAACCCCCCCATCCCAGAGGAAGGCAAAGGGCACACAGAGATCCGCAGCCCGTGCGAGTGCAGGCGCTGGGGCAGTTCCAGACGAACACTGTGGCCATCCTGCAGAGCCTGACAGACAAAAAGATCCTTTCTGGGGAAGCCTGGGCTGGCTTGGGTGCAGGGCACTGGGGACAGAGCCCACCCGGGGAAGGGAGGGACAGTTAACAGGGCTGGGCAGAATTTTAGGCTTCTTCAAGGGCCAAAAGCTCTTTGCCCCCCACCCCGTCCGGCTCACGCTGTTTCCTCAGCACCTTCACTTGCTCAGGTGAGACCACACTTGAAGACTTGGAAAAGCAGATTGCCCACAAGAAGGGATCCTGGCAGAGGGCTGCAGCCCTCGGATGGGGTGCAGGGATGGACAGGAGCTACATGGCATTGTTATTGCCAGGTTATGGTAAAGCATCAGGGTTTGTTCTGAGATCTCAAAACCCCCAGGGGGATGTGGATTGTATTTTAAAAAAAATCCTGAGAACACCAAAAAACCTCTGGTGTGAAGCCAAGGGCTTTCACCCACGGCTGTTGCCTCGTTCCTCCCAGCTGGAAGGTCTGGGATGAGGGGAGATGACTGTGTGGCCAGACAGGTCTTTGGGCAGATGTGACACCCGGCCTTTCCACGGAACAACCAGGATGACCCAGCCCTGCACAGCCCCCCCAGAGCCTGGCAAGCTGCTTTCCAGGAGAAAAACCTACAGTGGTGTCACCCTGAGAGTTTCTCTTGTCTCAGCATCTGCTGCCAAGTGGTGGGGCAAGAAGAGGCGGGTGGCACAGGCAGAGCCAGCAATGCCTGTCCTGCTCCTGCCATGGTGCCCAGGTGGGCTCCCCTGGGACAGAGGGTGGCAGGAATTGTCAGATCCCCTTGCCCTGGTTGGGCAGAATTGTTTGGGAATCGGTATTATCTTGTCTGGTTTTATAATCACACAGCAAAATGGTCATTATTCTATCAATATGTCTGTGTGTGTTTATCTATGTACATTTAATTTTGAGAGCAGAGCAGTGCTGTTTTGAAACTCATCTTTCCTATAAAGGAATTTCTCTCCTGACAATAAAGCCCCTGAAGATTTGTGTGCCCCGTGCCTCTCCTTTCAGCAGGGCTTCAGAGTCCCAGAGGCATCAGGATGGACCCTCTGGCTTTTGCAAGGTCTGCTGTGCTCAGGCTCCCCAAATCCTTTGGGAAAATCTTTGCTGGGTGAGCAAGCCAGGCTGCTGCAGGCCCAGGCTCAGCTGGAGGGAGCCAGCATGGCATGGACGCCGTGTCCCCATGGGCAGGGTTTGCTTTGGAGCCTGTGCTTGTTGGAACACAGGGATCTGTGAGCTGAGCTGGGGATGGACCCGCGGCCCAGCTCAGGCACCCCATGGAGCTGCTCTGGGCTGTGTGCTGGGACAGGGACACACAGGACCTGCTCCTGACACGTCCCTGCACACTCCACAAAGAACCAGCAGCATCTTCCTGCCTTTCTCGAAGCACAAAAGTGTGTTTGCTTCCTCTGCAGGGGTAACCCCCCATTCCCCACTGTTCCCCAGGAAGCTGCAGCCCCTGCAGGGCTCATGGCGGCCTCCAGCACTGAGTGCTCAGCACAGGCAGGACATGGAGCTGCTGAGAGAGTGCAGAGGAGGCCTGCGAGGTGCTGCGAGGGCTGGAGCCCCTGTGCCCTGAGGAAAGGCTGCCAGAGTTGGGGTTGCTGAGGCAGGAGAAGAGAAGGCCCCGGGGAGGCCTCAGTGCGGCCGGGCAGGAGCTGAAGGGGCCCAGAGGAAAGCTGGGACAGAGTGTTCAGCAGGGCCTGTGGGGAGAGGACAAGGGGGGATGGTTTGAACTGAAGGAGGGCGATTTAGGGTCGAGTCTAAGGGAGATGTTTTCTTCCAGTGAGGGTGGAGGGGACTGGCACAGGCAGGGCCTGAGAGACTCCATCCCTGGTAACGTTGAAGGGCCGGTTGGACGGAGCCCTCAGCAACCTGGTGTGATGGGAGGTTGCTCAGGTTGGAAGGAGTTGATTTTTAGGGTCCCTTCCAAGACAAACCATTCAAGGATTCCATCATTCTCTGGTCCCTATCCTGACAGCTCCTGTGCCATCCCAGCTGCCAGAGCTGTGCCCGTGTTCCATGTGGAATGGCCAGCACCCAGCACCGAGCACAGCGCAGCCATTCCCCTGCTGCCATCACACCTTTGTGCAGCTCCCAGTGCAGCCTCTGCGCTGACCAACCCTGCTGTGCTCTGAGACAACCCTTCCCCCTGCTCAGAGACCACCCTTCCTCCTGCTCCCAGCACACTGTCCTCCCCTGCTCCCTTCAATCCCCAGCAGTCCTGAACAGCAGCTGCTGTGTGGATCTTGTCCCCCGTCCCAGAGGATGCTCCCTCTTGTCCTGAGGAAGGTACAGGGCCGTTCCATGCAGGTGGGCACCCCTCGACCGCCCGGGGGGCTGGAGCTCTGTGGGGATGGTGTGGGACAGGGACCCCATTCTGAGATTGTGCCCCTGATGTAGCTGAGAGAGACACAAGAGAGGAGATGGAAATCGATATGGGATTGGATAGTGAGGAAAGGATGGAGATAGATCTGGAGGAGGACACAGAGGAGGAGATGGATCTTGAGCAGGAAGATGAGGAGGAGGACATGGTGCTGGGATGAAGACTCCCAGCAGCAAGACAGGCCCCTCCTGGCCATGCCCTGCCCCAGGGACAGGGGGTCACCTGCCACCTATCTAAGATGATAGATTTTGATTAGGAAGATAGTTTCTTTTAATAAGAAGATTATTGTTATTAAGAAGACTTGTTTTTAAAAAGAACAATACTGTTTTTAAAAGGAAATTTTTATAATAAAAATAAATTCTCTATATATGTCTTACATATTGGCAGTTTTGTTGTCCTTGTGTAAGACATCTCACAGGTTATCATTGTTATCCAGGCCCACAGATCGTGCCCTCTCAGCCCAGACACCCCCCTGTCCTGGGCTCATCCCCAGCCCTGGGGGCAGCAGGGCAGGGGGGGTTCTGTCGCTCTGCTCTGCTCTCAGCACACCCCACCTGCAGTGCAGCTCCAGCTCTGGGGTCCTGACACAACAAGGCCAGGAACTGTTGGAGCGAGGCCAGAGGAGGCCCCCAAGGGGCTCAGGGGACTCGAGCACCTCCCCTCTGCAGACAGGCTGGGAAAGCTGTGGCTGTCCAGCCTGGAGAAGAGAAGGTTGTGTGGAGACCTCAGAGAAACCTTCCCGTGGGTGAAGGGGCCTCCAAGGAAGCCGGAGGGGGACTCTTGGTCAGGAACTGCAGTGACAGAACAAGGGGGAATGGGCTCAAACTGCCAGAGAGGAGGGTTAGATTGGATGTTTCCTGTGAGGGTGGTGAGGCCCTGGCAGGGGCTGTGCAGAGGGGCCCTGGATGCCCCATCCCTGGGAACATTCAGGGCCAGGTTGGACGGGGCCCTGAGCAACCTGATCAGGGTGGAACAAGATGATTTGTAGGGTCCCTCACAAGCCAAACCATTCAAGGACTCCATCGTGCCATGATCCCCATCCCCCCCTGTGGAGTGGCCCCACAACTCCTGTGACATCCCAGCTGCCAGAGCTGTGCCCGTGTTCCATGTGGAATGGCCAGCACCCAGTACCCAGCACAGCGCAGCCATTCCCCTGCTGCCATCACACCTTTGTGCAGCTCCCAGTGCAGCCTCTGCGCTGACCAACCCTGGCTGTGCTCTGAGACAGCCCTTCCCCCTGCTCAGAGACCACCCTTCCTCCTGCTCCCAGCACACTGTCCTGCCCTGCTCCCTTCAATCCCCAGCAGTCCTGAGCAGCAGCTGCTGTGTGGATCTTGTCCCCCATCCCAGAGGATGCTCCCTCTTGTCCTGAGGAAGGTACGGGGCCGTTCCATGCAGGTGGGCACCCCTCGACCACCCGGGGGGCTGGAGCTCTGTGGGGATGGTGTGGGACAGGGACCCCATTCTGAGATTGTGCTCCTAATGCAGCTGAGAGAGACACGGGAGAGGAGATGGAAATCGATATAGGATTGGATAGTGAGGAAATGATGGAGACAGATCTGGAAGAGGGTGTGCAGGAAGAGATGGAGATAGATCTGGAGGAGGACACAGAGGAGGAGATGGATCTTGAGCAGGAAGATGAGGAGGAGGACATGGTGTTGGGATGAAGACCCCCAGCAGCAGGACAGGCCCGTCCTGGCCATGCCCTGCCCCAGGGACAGGGGGTCACCTGCCACCTATCTAAGATGATAGATTTTGATTAAGAAGATAATTGCTTTTAATAAGAAGATTATTGTTATTCAGTAGACTTGTTTTTATAAAGAACAATACTGGTTTTAAAAGGAAATATTTATAATAAAAATAAATTCTGTAAATATGTCTTACATATTGGCATTTTGTTGTCCTTGTGTAAGA